GGGGAGTCTGCTTCTCCCTCTGACCCTCCTCTCTCTCATGCTCTCTGTCTCTCACTCTCTCTCAAATAAATAAATAAAATCTTTAAAAAAAAAAAATTCTTGCAAATTACTAGTAGCCTGTATAGAAACCACGAGCTGGGCAAAATTCCTGGTGACTCCTGCATTCTGGCTCCCCTCCCCCGCCCCACCGCCACCCCGTTTCTTTGACAAAAATACTGGTGTATTATTTTTCTACGACTGCCGTAACAAAATGCCAGACTGGATGGCTTAAGTAACAGAGACTTATTTTCTCACAATTTTAGAGGCTGAAAGTCTGAGATTCAGGTTAGTCAGCAGGGTTGATTTCTTCTGAGGCTTCTCTCCTTGGCTTGCAAAATGTCTGTCTTCTCCCTGTGTCCTCACACAGTTGTCCCTCTGCATGTGCATGTGTCTGGTGTCTCTTTGTGTCCAAATTTCCTCTTCCTATAAGGACACCAGTCATTGGATTAGGGCTAACCCTAAAGTCCTGGTTTTAACTTAATCATTTCTTTAAAGACATTATCTCCAAATATGATTGCATTCTGAGAGGGTTAGGGCTTTAACATAGGAACTTGGGAGCACACAATTCAGCCTCTAAAAACTGGACTTCCAAAATATTTGGTAGAATGATATTTTTCCATTCATCTCAGCTAACTTACTTAGAGATTCATCCCCCCAACCTTCATTCTCTTCTGTATGTTTATTTAGAACTGATTGAAGGTAATTTATTACAATTAATGTAGGTGGTTGTGTTTGTTGTTTTAAGAAGTGACGGTCGGGGAAAGAGAAAAAAGCTTATTTAAGAAAACAAACAAATCTTGCCTGAATTTTTTTAAAAAGAGAAGGTCATCTCTTTCTTCTCCTAGAATAACATGGTGGCAGGACAGACAGTTTTATCACGGGGGCTAAGAAAGCAGGTTTTCGAGTCCGCTCCGCACATACTAACTCTGACTTTGAACAGGTTGCTCAGCCACACTATTCCCTTGATTGATTCTGCCTCTGTATATTGTGGATAATAAGTAGAAGTGTTTCAAAGAATTGCTGGGAGGATTAATTGAGATGATATGTGTAAAGTGCGTGGCATGGTGCCAAGCTCACAGTTTTTAAATGCTAATTATGGTCTGAATGTTTATGTGCTTCTCAAATTCATATGGTAAAGCCCTAACCCCAATGTGATGGTATTCAGAGGCAGGAGTTTGGGAAGTAATTAGGTTTAGATTAGATCATGAGAGTGGGACTCTCATGCTAAGCTTACTGCCCTTACAAGAAGAGGAAAAAAGAGATTTTTATCTCTTTAGGAGCACCACCAAGGAAAAACGGATATGGCACAGCCAAAAGGCAGCTATCTACAAGCTGGAAAGTGGGCCCTCAGCAGACACTGATTCTCCCCACACCTTGATCTTGGACTTCCCAGCCTCCAGAACTATGAGAAATAAATTTCTGTTGATCAAGCCACCCAGTCTATGATACGTTGTTATAGTAGCCCTAGCAGACTAAGAGAGTGCTCAATAAATATTATTTACCTAATAATAATAATAATAACAATAACCACAGACACAGAAAGCTACATTGTTCACTGGTGCTGGACAGAATGTAATACCCTTCCTGAATTTCCTCTGATTTTAGATTGTTAGAGGTGGAGCTAGGTGCAAGTTCTTTTTCTGTTAGTTTAAGTGGACTTTGATAGAGAGTTGGATTCACAAAGTGTAGATAAAACACAAGTAGGCTTTAATGTTAACTCCTGTCCTCCAAAGATCCAAAGATCCTTGGTCAAAAAGTAATGAGTCAGAGGGACATTGGAATAGAGGGGCTGGGGTTTCTGGCAGCCTGACTGTCCCCAGGAGCCTGGCTTGTTTTCCTCTGGAGAATCTCAGTCTGTGAAGCATGAGTGGCACATAACAGGTGTGTGTCCTCTGGTCTCTTAGTGAGACAAGCCACCAGGCCCTCTCCTTGTCCACTGGACAGAGGCTCAGCCTAAGTCTGGGAGTCCCAGACACAGCAGAGGCCACAGGATATTCAGGACTGGGCTGCCAGACAGAGGTTACCCACAAGTCTTTGTAAAATGTGTAGTTAAGTGCCAAACACGTTCTTAGGATTAGGTCAAGTGTTGCCAGCAGTACTCAATATGCCGTACTGTAATCAACTTGCATCAGCCAGCACTTTATTCTTAAGGCCCTCAGGGCTCAACTACTTTAGAAACAGTCCAGTAACTAAGGAAATATCTATTGTTATCTATTGTTTTAAAGTTGCATTTCCTTAAGGAGCCCTTGGCTTCATAAAGGGGATTGTCCCATGTGAAAATCTACTTCAAGATACAGCCCTTAGTCTTGAGAGAAGCTTGGGAAGTAGAAAGGCACTTTGAATTGAATACAAAAACAAGGAGTTGGAGCTATGTTAAAATAATAATGTTAAGGATACTAATAGCTGATGTTTATTGAGCATTTTCTCTATGGGAGATACCATGCTAGGCTCTTTATATTTTTTATCGTATTTAATCTCCATAATCCTACGAGATAGGTGTATTATCTCAAGTTAACAGATCAATAATGAAGTTTTTAAAAAGTATTGCCAGGATGCAAACCCACCGATTTGGGCTATTTATTTAGGCTTCATTGCAATCAATGCAGTAGTTGCTGTATCTGGATGATGATAAGAATCACCTGTAGTTTTTTAAACACGTATTTTAATACTGTACATAACTGTAAAAGTATGAAAATATAGCACAAGAGATGATTTTTATAATTGTCAATTGGGAAAGACCATGCTAAGGAACAGACAAAATCTCTGATTTAAATTACATACAAAGTTAAAAGCTTTTAGAAAGTAGCAAGAAAAAGATCAATCAGACAATACAAAAATGGGTATAGGATATAACCAGGAAGTTAGTTCATGGAAGAAATGAGAATGACGAATAAACATACGAAATGAAGCTGAAAATAAAAATTAAAAATGAGATACTTTTATTTTTAAAATATTTTATTTACTTATTTGACAGAGAGAGAGAGCATAAGCGGGGGGGCAGCAGAGGGAG